TCAGATACAAAGATATGCAACTCGATTAATACGGACGTAATTTTGTTTGGGGGCAGAGAAACGGTCGACCAGACCAAAACCTCATAACGACCACCTAGTCATCGAGTTAACGATTGAAAACATTGATGTCGCAAGGATATTAATCGATACCGGAAGCTCGGCTAATATCATCTTTAAAAATACCCTCGAGAGAATGGGGATCAATCCGAAATTACAGAAAACCCTAGCCCGCTAGTAGGACTCTCAAGAGAAGCCACTTTGACTCTCGGATCAATTAACCTCACAGCCAAAGATGGAACCATTACAAATATCGCAGAATTCTTAGTCTTCGACCGACCTACGTCATACAATGTAATCATGGGATCACCATGGTTGAATTCTATGCAAGCGATTTCGTCGACATACCATCTTTGTCTCAAATTATTGACTCCTCATGGAATCGAAACGTTCCAGGGAAATCCGAGGATATCGTAAGTCTGCTTTGCCGCAGAATTAAAACGAAAGAAAACAGCCTCCGAGGCCACATATAAGAAAAAATCAACTGTTGAAAAAAATTACCCTGAATTCGGCAGAACTCTCCTTGCAAATATGGAAAGCTGAGATCCTAGAGGAAAACCGCGAGCCGACCTTCGAACCCGTAGTATCAATTTGTCTTGACAAAGCATTCCCCAAACGATGTGTCAAAATCGGAGCTAATCTCCGCGAACCTTTAAAGGCCAAGCTCATAGCTTGTCTAAAAGAGAACCTCCACACGTTCGCCTGGACTGCAGAAGACATGCCCGGAATTGACATCGCCATTACCTGTCATGAACTGATTATCTGTCCAACCTTCAAACCGATCAAGCAGAAAAGACAGGAGTTGGGATCCGAGCGTGCTGCTGCGGTCAAGGACGAAGTCGGGAAACTTCTCAATGTCGGATCGATAACATAAGTAAGATACCCAGACTGGCTCGCCAACCCTGTTGTAGTCAAAAAAGAAAAACGGCAAGTGGCGAGTCTTTGTCGATTTCACCGATCTCAACAAAGCCTGCCCAAAGGATAGATTTCCCTTACCGCACATCGATCATCTAGTCGAAGCGACAGCGGTAAATGAACTCATATCCTTTATGGATGTCTTCTTGGGTTATAATCAGATAATGATGAACCCCAACGAACGAGAGAAAACCACATTTATTACGGTTGCGGAACGTATTGCTACAAGGTGATGCCCTTCGGCCTCAAGAACACCAGAACAACTTATCAAAGACTCGTGAACCGAATGTTTGCCGAACAACTCGAAAAAACCATGGAGGTTTACATTGACGACTTGCTCGTCAAATCCCTTCACGCGGAGGATCACGTGTCCCACCTTGAAGAATGTTTTGCAAGGCTAAACTCGCACAACATGAAGCTTAACCCGGCTAAGTGCATATTCGCTGTAGCATCGGGGGAATTCTTCGGTTACCTAGTAATGTATCGCGGAATCGAAGCTAATCCAAAACAGATCGATGCATTGATCGGAATGACCTCGCCCAAAAACAAGCGGGAAGTACAAAGGCTAACCGGGAGAGTCGCAGCACTCAACCAATTCATTTCGAGATCAACGGACAAATGCATACATTTCTACAATATCCTGAGGGGAATAAAAATTTTGAATGGTCAGAAGAATGCAAAAACTCTTTTCAACAGCTAAAGCATTATTTGGCCACCCCTCCAATTCTCGTGAAACCTGCGGAAGGAGAACCATTATTTTTTTACATCGCCGTATCAGCAACGGCCTTAAGCGGCATCCTGATTAGAGAGGAGCGCGGCGAGCAAAAGCCTATTTTCTACACAAGAAAAACATTGCTGGATGCCAAATCACGGTATCCGTTGATGGAGAAATTAGCATACACAGTAGTAACTTCGGCACGCAAGCTTAGGCCGTATTTCCGATCTCTTACCATCATCATTCTCACAACATTTCATTGACGGACAATCTTGCATAGCCCAAGATAATCGGGTAGATTAGCCAAGTAGGCAGCCGAACTAAGCGAATACAATATCGAATATCGGCTGAGAACCAGCGCGAAATCCCAAGTACTCGTGGATTTCTTGGTCAAAATACCAACTCAGGCCGTAATTAACAAAGAAGCGAATTCGACTTGGGTTCTTCACGTCGACGGAATTCGTCTCACGTCACCAACAGAAGAAATCCAGGAGCAGTCTTTCAGACTAGAATTTCACGCATCCAACAACGAAGCCGAATACGAAGCGCTCGTAGCAAGATTGCGATTAGCTCATGGTCTGAAAATACGTAACATCCACGCATACTGCGATACTCAGCTAGTTCCAATTCAATACAGTGGAGAGTACGAAGCACGAGACGAAAGAATGGATGCATACCTTAAACTGGTCCAAACCTTAGCCCAAAATTTTGACTTCTTTGCCCTCACACGAATTTCTTGTTCCAAGAACGTCCAAGTGGATGCTCTCGCTGCTGTAGCATCAAGGTCAGACCCGGGACTCAAAAGAATAATCCCAGTCGAATTTATCGAGCATCCAAGAATCGGGCCGCCGGTCGTCGTCAATCTCATTGGAGATCATGACGACGACTTGGAAGAAATCGTAGTACGGCCAGAGGAAAATTCGCAATAGTCCAACTTTGGTTGCGACACGCCATGGCTGGAAACGATCCGAGCCTACATCGCCGATGGGGAACTACACACCAAAAAGTTGACAGGCCGTAAAATTTAAACCCAAGCCACACAGTACGTAACAATCGATGGGGAAATATACAAATGGAGATTTTCCGGTCCGCTCATGACATGAATAGAAGGAGAAGGCGCGAGAAAGGTTATGGAAGAGATTCACTCTGGATCTTGGGAAAATCATTCCGGCAGAAGATCACTCGCAGTCAAGATCAAATGCCACGGCTACTACTGGTCAACGATGATCAGAGACTGCGAGAAATTTGCACGGAAATGCAAAAATTTCAAAGGCATTCTCCGACCATCCGTTAATCTGCCGAAGTGCTCTTTTCACATCTCCGTATCCTTTTATGAGATGGGCCATGAACATCACCGGGCCCCTCCATAACTCGAAACAAAAACATTTCCTCTTAGTCCTCACCGACTTCTTCTCAAAGTGGGTGGAAGCGGAATCATACGCAAGCATAAAAGACGTACAAGTCGAAAACTTCGCATGGAAGAACATCATATGTAGGCACGGAGTCGCTTACAAAATCGTAACGGATAACAGATCTCATTTTATCTCTACCTGGTATGAGGTATTCTGTGAAAAATGGAAAATACGATTGAATAAATTAATTCCCAGATACCCGCAATGCAATGCTCAAGCCAAAATGATTAATAAGACCATTCTCGATGGACGTAAGAAATACTTAGACACCAAACAAGGCAGTTGGGCAGAGGAATTCGAAGTAGTCCTCTGGGTGCATCGCACAACTCCGAGACGAGCTACGGGAGAGACACCCTTCGCCCTCGTATATGGAACGGAATGCATGATCCCCATAGAAGTTGAAATCCCAGGCGTCAGAAGGAGACTCTTGCCTGAGCGAGAAGAGCTCAACAACGCAATGTTGTTAGACGACCTCGACCTCGTCAATGAACGCCGTTATCAAGCACTCATCAGGATTCAAAACTATCAACACAAAGCCGCAAAATACTATAACTGGAACGTTCGGAATCTTAGATTCAACGAAGGAGATTTAGTTCTGCGTAAAATCTTCCAAAATACCACCAAGTGAAACGCGGGAAAACTCGGAAAAAACTGGGAAGGACCCAACAAAATCATAAAAGTCGTCCGACCAGGCTCCCACTAGATAGCCAACATGGAAGGCACGAAAAAATCCAAGAACTTGGAACGTAATGCACCTCAAAAAATACTATCACTAAGCGATGCACTTCTCAACAACTGAACTACGGGACGGCTTGATCCCTGCAAAAGGGTATGTAGCCACCTTGTCGCAAGATGGGACCAGCTGTCCCCCATCGTTAAAAAGGGGGGTGGGATGGGTACGTATACGTATACTCGTATGCTCCCAAAATTTCAAAATACCCGCTCTCAAACTTGAAATTTCTTGAACGATTTTTAATGACGCGGAAAAAAGAAAGATAACTTTTGAACATAGCGAGACGTCGCCAATGTTCGAAAGACCGTTTTTCAAACATAAAACAGTCCATCCGCGACTATAAAACACGCAAAAAATTTCTTAAGATACATATTCTTCGCGAAGGTCCGAACAATGGTAACATCTACCGCTTAAGTTTGTCGCGACAAACTCCCAGCAGTCTTAAACATACTTAGCCGTCTCCTAAAGATAGCTCTTGGATACCCGTCACAAGGGTAATAGCGTTATAAAAGAAATCCAGAACTTTGGTCAGCACCTTCGAGGATGCTCGATTCCGACAAGACAAGTCGTATAAGCCGAGAACCTATCGCGGACTTTAAATCGGTACGGAATCAGGTTAAAATCACAAAAGTCAAAACAAATGCCGATTAGTCATCGCAAAGCCTCAAAACTGAAAGTAAACCTAGGTGTTACCCTAAACCCAGTACACTGGTCTTTAACATCTCTAGGCATAGTATCAAACACCCTGATACGAGATTCCAAAACTTGTCACTTTTTTAGTATTTAAACGTCTTCAGAAACTCTGCTAGTTTAGGTGCCGTGGAAAACTCTCGAAACAGGCCACATATATAACATTTTGTCCGGAGTTAGGCTACGAGATGACAACTCGGAAGTATTCTCCACTATTACAAAAATGTCCAATACGGTCTCTAGACGCAAATTAAGTTCTTTAATAAAATGCCGCCAAGCAGAAGGGATTCAAAAGCCACAAGCGGCCAGTCCCAAAACATAAACATGGCCACACTCGGCCAGAACAATACGCTAATCTATAGTAAAAAAAAACGTAACCTTGATTACCATCTGGGTTCTAGGCCTCTTCTTCATCCATCGCTTCATCCAAGTCCCGAGCCGCACCATCTCCACTCTCCCCAACCGCAAGATCTTGCCCCTAAGGGTCTTCTGAACGCGGCGAAAGGGAGCACTCGGATTTCAAGTTACCCGAGATAAGGTCAAAGCTCCCATCCACGATCGCATGCTCTCCCTTACGAGCGGATAGCTTGGCCTCCTCAGCCTGTATAGATGAAGGATCTTCACCTTGGAGTGCCTGAACGACAGCCATCCCGCCATCAACAGCTGCCAGAATCAGATTCCTTCTTTGGGCACACTCGAGGGAACCTAATAATTCGGAGATCTTCTCCAAATAGGTCTGAAACGTATAGAGCACCTTTTGCTTCCTCGACCCCACGATTCTTCTTCTCCTCATCGCTCTCAACCTGAGCTGGAGCAGGCGCGCCTCCGAGGACTTGGCCTTCCGAGCTTTCTTCTCCTTAAGCAGAGAACTCGCCGTTTTCCCAAGGTCTGTCTTGAGTTCACCAATTTGAACTTCGAGCTTAAACACCTTAGCAGAGTGAGAATCCTCGAGGGCTTTTAGCGTAGCCCAGAACTTGGATAATTGGGCCCGTGCCTCCATCAGTTCTCCCGCAAGACAATTGACCTTAGAACCGCATTCGCTGATCATCCCATCGATCAGCAGCAAGAACTGCAATATGATGCAGCGATTAGGAGTATAAAGTAAAGCGGAACTAAGAAAACGTTGTAGGAATACAAAGTCGAAGAGATAAGTGAACCTTTTCGCGAAACCCCGATGTCAGATTCATCCCATCCTGTTGAAAGGACTCTCTGTATGATGCACTTCCTCTTTCGGACATTTGGTGCAACAATCGGAGTACCGCTGGGAGCACGCAGGGCTAGGACGATCTCCTTTCTAGCTGGGGGAGGAGGCATCGAATCCGTAGCCTTTTCTTTCTCGTATACAAAAATTGGAGTCGTAGACGAACCAGAAGGATAAGCCAAAGCCTCCGGTACATGCGAAGTAGCCATGCCAGCTTTCACCACTACGTCTTGTGAAACCTGGACCATGGGCTCATGAGCTGGAGTAGCAGCCGGAGCGAAAGGAAGAGAAAGCTCAGTACTGTCACGGATAGGCGCTTTCTTGGCCTTGCGACGAGCCATCTTTTCCCGGAAAGACAGGAAGCTGGTGACACACGCAGGTGCACCATCGAAAGGAGTGAATTCTGGGGTCCGAGGGGTGGCTTTTCCCATCTCGGCATCATCAGTCATCTGCGGACCCTTGGGCGTTAACTCCGTCCAACTCGCCTACTACATCTAACTGCTCTCTAGAATCTTATCTTTCGTTCACGATTCTAATGAGCTGGGGGGGGGGGAGCTAACTGTTGGGGTCAAAAACGGTAACGATAAATTTCACAACCAAAAATACAAAGAGATAAGTTCAAATTTTTCCGAGAAGCTAAAACACCGATCGCTTGGGAAAACACGGAAAATGCCAAACAAGATACGAGCTCGGTTGCTACGTAACGACCGAGCACGCAACATGCTCGGTCTCTACGTAGAGACTGAGCTAAAGCCGAGCTTGGTCTCTATGTAGCAATTGAGCATGCAACACGCTCGGTCACTTTGTAGCGACCGAGCACATACATGGCTCGGTCGCTACGTAGAGACCAAGCTCAAGCCAAAGCTCGATCGCTACATAGCGACCGGAATTCCCAAAACGTTGTTACGACATTCTCGTTTACTCTTTGTTGCAATCTCCCGAAATATATGACTTACCCACTCCTTGTTCCTTATTGATCGGAGTCATAAGTTGGACTTTACGATAAAAACCATGGGAAGTTCGTTTTTATCGAAGAAACCGTTATAAACGTTCCGAGTTGAAAGACGGCCCAAAGAGACCTAAAACGTGATTCGGAACCCACTTAGGAATTCTTAACTAAAAGCCCATAGACCCCCATGAAGTTTTATGCTTGCTTCGCAAGATAAGATAAATGTTAGTCTTTTGCAGATGAATGTCAACTTTCCGCGAAAAAATGGAAAATTTCCGAAGATAATCATGAAGATCGGGAAAAATGGAATATCTCCATTTTCTAGCTATGACGGCTTAAGGGAAAAAGGGGGAAAGCGTAAACCAACCTAGGAAGAAGTATATAAGGAGTCTTAGGAGAGAGCAAGAGGAAGAGAATTCTACACACAACAAACTTACCACTTAGAGCATTAGGCAACTTTCTGTTTTCGTTATTCGAGCTGCGACTCATTTAGGTTTTGCTGTGTTAGGTTATTAGAACTAGGAATATCACTGTCAGCTCTCCTATCCAAGGCTTCTACCTTGTTGTAAACTCTTACACACGAATTCAGAATAAGACTTCTTTGGCTCTTTTCTCAATTTCTTATATTTACTTGCTTTTATCTTCGTATTCTGATTACTTGGTGTGTGGTTTACTAGATATTCAGGACCTCTGGGAAAGTTAGGTGAACTTAACGTCCCTTTATTTACGGAAATCGACAGTGCGAATTTCGGTTACCACATACTTCTGGATCGGAAATTAGAAAAAAACTGAGACTTCTGAATCGGAAATTAGAGAACAAGCTGAGACTCATTAACTGGAGTTACATAAGCAGTTATGTCCCTGTCAAATTACCATTGTACGGGTATTAATATTTTTGAAATAACTAAATTATGTATTCTCTTAGATATATATACATGAAATTTTATGTACTAAAGTCTAATCTCTTAACTTATTAATTTTGGTATATATTAGGTACCAATTATTCGTCGAAATTGAATTATAATCATTTTTAGTTTTAGATATATAAATCATATTGATTTTGTAATGCATTTTAATTCAATTTATCGTCTAAGTAAAGTTAAGCATATTTATTTATGTATAATTTTTTATATATTGTTTAAGAAAAATAAATTAAAGTGATATAAGTTTGGTCAAGTTAATTTGGGAAATAATCTCAGATGCTCTTAAAGAGGCAAAATGTATGCTGGCATACTCTTAAGAACTCTGGCGTACTCTTGTCTATTCTGATACTCTTTAGGAGTGTGGTTAATGTCGACAGTGCCCTGAATAATTTAAACTGAAATTAATGAATTAATCTCTTCTCGAGTGGAGCCTACTTTCCTCGACCCTCTCTCTCGTAAATTCCTCTCTCGTCCTCCTCGTGGTGTTCTTCCTCGCTATCATCAAATTGCTAACTCGGTTTCGTAGCTTGGATGCTGAATCATTGAGATATTGATAGGGTATGTATCTCAAATCGTTTTAGAATCCACCATAGACGATTTATTCATAGGGATTCCGATTTGGATAGAAGATTTCATATTTGTGTATGAACTAGTCGACGATCGGAAAGTTTGGATAGTCTGTTTATTTGGGAATTTAATAATCAACAACTGTATAATTCCATGTCGGGAATCAAAGATGATTACATTTTGGTGTTGAATTGACTCGATTCGTAGTAATGGAAAATTTCTTATTCATTTGTGTATGAGGATCGGAAAGTGTGGATGGGTTGTCTATTACTCAATTGGATAATCAACAACTGTATGATTGAATGTCAGGAAGGAAAGGACGATTCAATCAAAGAAAGCTGATTACTATTTGGTTTTGAGAGAAACATTTAGAATTCTGAAACTTGGTTAGAATAAATGGACTGATTACTGACAAAACTCCGTAACATGGCATGACGAAGTATAACTTTAATGGTATAACTGTATAGCTAAGTATAACTTTGATGGTTTAATTTTTTTATATTGCAGACAAAGTGTCATTTTTCTACCGACATACATATTGATTATGATGGATATTATTCGAAGGCTGGAGATGATTATGAATTGATTCCAACCGATGCTTGTTTGTCTGCTATGTCCTTTAAGACATCATCATTGGAGGAGATCACTTATTCATTGTTGAAGGAGAGGATATGAAGGATGATGGGAACAAATGGAGTAGACGAGCCTAATTATGTAAATATTTTTTATAAGTATGTCGCTATCCATATTTCACTACCTGCAAGTTGTTCAAAAGGTCATATGTTTCAGAGACATATAAACAAAGCGGCCGATGGTGATAAGAACAACACATTTAAGTTGATGAATACAAGTTCTAAACTAGGTTAGATTAAAAGAAAACCTAAATTCTTGAACCGCAAACTAGAGAAACAATCGAGACTTCTGAAATGGAAATTAGAGAAAAAAGCTGAGACTTCTGAAGTGGAAATTAGAAAAAAAAACTGAGACTTATGAATCGGAACTTAGAGATAAACTGAGACTCATTAAAAGGAATTACATAGGCTGTTATGTCATTGTCAAATTGCTATTGTATGCGTATTAATATTTTTGAAATAAATGAATTATGTTTTCTCTTAAGTATATATACATGCAATTTTATGTACTAAAGTCTAATCAGTTAAATTATTGATTTCAGTATATATTAGGTAACAATTATTCTTCCATGTTAAAATATAATCATTTTGAGTTTTAGGTAGATAAATCATATCAATTTTGTAATGCATTTTAATTCAATTTATTGTCTAAGTAAAGTTTAACATATTTATGTCTAATTCTTTATATATTGTTTAAGGAAAATAAATTAAAGTGATATAAGTTTAGTCATGTTAATTTGGGAAATAATCTCAGATTCTCTTAATGAGGGAAAAGGTATTCTGGCATATTCTTTCGAATTCTGGCGTACACTCTTGTCTATTCTGATACTCCCTAGGAGTGTGGTTAATGTCGAAAGTGCCCCTGACCGATGTAAACTTAAATTAATGAATTAATCTCTTCTCTCTATTCCTTCTCTCTCGAGTCGAGCCTCCTTTCCTAGATCCTCTCTCTCGTAATTTCCTCTCTCGTCCTCCTCGTGGTGTTCTTTCTCGCTGTCATCAAATTGCTAACTCGGTTTTGTCTCTTGGTTGCTGAATCATTGAGCTATTGATTACGTTTTACAGGGTATGTATCTCAAATTGTTTTAGAATCCACCATAGACGATTTATTCATAGGGATTCCGATTTGGATAGAAGATTTCATATTTGTGTATGAACTAGTTGAGGATCAGAAAGTTTGGATGGTCTGTTTATTAGAGAATTCGATAATCAAGAATTGTATTATTGCATGTCGGGAATTAAAGCTGATTAAAATTTGGTTTTGAATTGAAGACTAGATTCATAGTAATGGAAAAATTCTTATTCATTTGTGTATAAGGATCAAAAAGTGTGGATGGTCTTTCTATTACTCAATTGAATAATCAACAATTGTATGATTGAATGTCGGGAATGAAAGGACTATTCAATCAAAGAAAGCTGATTATTATTTGGTTTTGAGAGAAACACCTAGAACTCTGAAACTTGGTTAGATTAAATGGACTGATTACTGACAAAACTCCGTAACATGGTATAACGAAGTATAACTTTAATGGTATAACTGTATAGCTAAGTATAATTTTTTATATTGCAGACAAAGTGTCATTTTTCTACCGACATACATATTGATTATGATGGACATTATTCGAAGGCTGGAGATGATTATGAATGGATTCCAACCGATGCTTGTTTGTCTACTATGTCCTTTAAGACATCATCATTGGAGGAGATCACTTATTCATTGTTGAAGGAGAGGATATGAAGGATGATGAGAACAAATCCGTTTACGAAGAGGCTCAATTTGGGTTACATTCCATTGGTAGTGGAACCTAAGAGGCAATCATATATTTTGGATGATGAAGATGTGTTTGTTTATCTAACATCAGTGGATAGAGAGCAGAGAAGAAGTATTTTGCTTGTGGAGGACATCCAAGAATTGCAAATAGTTCCAATAACCGAACAACTATCAAGAGTTGGAGAAAGCTCTTGTAGTAGGAATTATAGTGAGCGCGAGAGTAGATATGGAGAAGAAGAGAATGTGGGCACTGGTTCGGAACAGAATGAACACCCCCACAAGAAACATAAGAGGAGTAGGTTGTAAACCTTTTTCTTTCAGTTTTGATGTGAAGTAGGTTGTAAAACTTTTGTTTTCAGTTTTGATGTGAAGTAGGCTGTAAGCCTTTCACTTTCAGTTTTTATCGTATGGAAACGTTGTGAGGTTAAATTTTTATTTGTGTGTTGTACAACCAAGTGAAACTTTTTTCCTTACTGGTATAACTACGATAGGTAAAATGAGTAATATGATTGTAAATTCTAAACGTGTTAATAAGTCATGAAAGTAATAAGATGGTGATTTATTATTAATTGTTATGATAATTATGATCTAATCAGAATTATTAAAA